CTCTCGGGCGGCCCTTTCGTTCCCCCGCTACCTGCCGCGGGACCCCGGCGGCGGGAAGGCGCCCGCGGAGACACGCTGCTCCCCCCGCACCCAGCTGGAAGTAATTGCAAGTTTCTGAGAGGTCTTCCAACCCAACGTTGACAACTTCTTCGCTTCTGAGGAGACATCACCAGGCAGAAAATCTGAAAGGCCAAGCTCACCCCGTATCCTGTAATTTAGTTTGATCAAATGGTCTTTTGTGGAGAAACACACTCGACGGAGCAGTACAAAAGTCCTGGGCCATGGGGTCTTTCGGCTGCTGCATTCTCAACAGCTTATTTTGAGAGCACAGTTTACGTTCTTTAAAACTATTGAGGCATCATAGTGGCATAGTGCCTCACACCGACATCCAGACAGTTTTCATAAACTGTTTCTTTAATTTTAAGATGGACTGGTAAGGTTCAGGTAATGCAAGTAATTCTCTGCCACCAACCAGGGCACATTTCTTTTCAGGGCTCCAAAATGATCAGTTTTGCAAAGGACACGGCTCACTGGCATTTTCTCAGAGGCAGTGGTAGCTACCATTATCAGAACAGGAGCTGTACGAACATGACTTTTGTTTTGCTGAAGAGCTCCACGTGAAAGGGAAAATCCTACATACTCCTGGAAATCACATCAGTGGTTGGGTAGGTCACATTCTTATGAATAACTTCTAAAGCAGCTCCTAGCATAGAGCTTGAAGGTCGCTGTGGTTTAAGAAACACAAATACATTAATATATATGCAAGACCACAGGTCAGGTGGTCTGTGATATTATCTGTAGCAATTAATGTTGTTAAACCAATCTCCTGGCTGAATTCTGCTTCAGAGAAGTACAACCCAGCTAGCTTTCCTTTTTCTTTTTACTTGAAAAGGTCATGTGCATGCATACACAAACACAAATAAATGGCAGTTTGACAGAAAGAATGCTGTCTAGCTTTGTGGTCAGAAAATAATCCATGTGTAAACCTTACAGCACACAATCTCATATAAAAATTCAGTTGTAACTTACATGCCCACATAGCAGTCTGACATACTGATCCTTGAATGTGACATTCATCAGATTAAATGGTCTTCTGCTGTAAAGTAGATTCGTGCCTGGTTTGTGTCCTCAGAGGATCAGAGGTTTACTTTGTGGAAAGGCAAGATATTTCTTCTCAGAAATAGTAGCTCCAGTCAGTAGATGATTACTTTATAACTTATGATCCAAAGGAGCCATGCTGACAGAGTTGCAAGATGATGTTGCCTAGGATGGGCCATATTGCTCCCAAGCAGGCAGGACTAGCCAGGCATTCTTATACTGTTGTACTCAGATACCTGGAAGGTCTTGCAACAACAGTAGTTTATAAATTGGATTTTACCATTGGAACCAAGTGAAGGGACCAACTTACTGCCTCAGCACAAGCTGGATCTTTTAAGTTCTGTTGTACTTCAAGATATGCCTTCTTCCTTCCAAGTTAGTATGAGTCCACAAACCTAGTTTGGCCTTGAAGTAGGGTGAAAATAATTTTCTTAAGCTGTTCTTTCATATCTGCTTTAAGCACATTTAATTTGCCATCTTTCCTGGGTTCTTATTCCTGCTGTTTACAATGGGCCAATTAGTGGAGCTTGTACAACCACATGGTGAGTTGCACACAAACATTAAGGCAAAAAACCCAACCCAACTGAAAGTGATACATGTTCTGCCATGAGGTATCAATTATTTAATTAATTTCACCACCCACGCATATGAGCTCAATTGCAGCCACAACCAAACAAGAGCAAAAGAGCAAGACCACACATTTTGCCAGTAACTTTCACTTAGATCTGTTTTACACAGATCATTGTAAAATCACAGCCTAATTCTGAAAGCTTTTCAGTGTCCTTGTGGGATCATGAATGAGAAGGTTCCTTAGTTCTGACAGAGCATCTGCTAGATGGTGGTGTCAGCAGACAACAGAAAGACAAGCCAGACGATCTAGTGTAGGAAGCAATTCTAGAAAAGGAAAAAACTTGCTAACATAATTGAAAAGGACAGCAAATGGAAGGCTAAGAAGAGTCGCTATATGAAAAGTCAACATATGTTATGCAAACTAGTTAGTAATCAGTATCATTGGGTTTAACAAGTTGTCGTGAGTGAGAGCCTGCTATCAGTTGCACATGAAAAAACTTCTTTCATCTGAGCTGTGATAACGCCAAAGGTGTGGCTATCCTCTATGATCAGCTGATAGGAATAGCTCTCCTACTTAAGGCATCATCTAACTGTACTTCCCTGTTGTAATTCAAGTTTGTAGCTGTTTTTGTAGCTGTTAGAACAGTTTTTGTTGGTCTGAGTGCCGATTTCTGTTACGGCTAGCGAAGAATTTCTAATGTTTTTTCCCACAGTTGGGTCATAACTTTTGATCCAGATGATCTAGGCTTTGGGTACTTTCACTGATTTATCAAACTTTTTTATTTTTAGAAAGTTGTAGTGTTAGTGAAGGCTTTGGTCTCATAATCCCACTGAGGTTATCAGACCATGGTAGTTCTCCCACTATTTTTCTCTTGATGCACCTTTGCCATAGTGGCCAGGGATGGAATGTTCCACTTACTGAAGCGATGTGACCTATAAGAGTGTTAAGTTTTGTGACTTCATCCCAAGCATCTTCCTTCAATGGTACATGTTCTAGAGTGACATTTTGGACAACTACAGCTTTCATTTATAAGTGGGAGACAATAAAACTCATGATTGCAGAATGGGACCTAAAAGTGTAAGACTGTAGGATTGAGAGAGTGTATAGAAAATTAAGAAGAATGTGAATCCTCTTTTTAAACATGATCTTTAAGTCAGGTTGAAGACTAGACTGATCTTAATTAAGTGGTTTGGGTTGTCAGTACCTCTGAAGTTCCAGCTTTTCTGCAAGAATAGAATTAATTGAGAGCACCCAGTGTTCAACCAGTGATGAAGAGCCACTGCCTCCTTACATTTAAGGACCATAGGTTTGTGTACATTATATTCAAGACATCTTACAAAGTTACTAACTATGCTACTAACAGATCTACC